CATCAGAAGCATTCTCCTCTAACATAATTAGGCTAGCTAACAATAATTATTGTAGAAATGTAATATATTTTTATGTACCTCTGTTTTGTGTAATTTTTAATATAATTTATTATGAGATTCAAAAAATAAACTTTTCGTGAGATTCAAAAAATGTGGCAAATAAAAATTTAAATTTTCACTTCAGAAATTTTTAAATTTGTGCTAGAATTTTTATAAACACAAACACATCACCTGTCCGATTGGCAGGTCAACAAATAGAAATGAAAAATGTTAGATTTAATAAAAAAATTATATAATATTACGAATAATTCGTTTTATTCGAATAATTCGTTTTATTCGAATAATTCGTTTTATTCGAATAATTCGTTTTATTCGAATCGAATAAATGATTATTCGTATTCAGATAAAACAAATAATTTATTATTCGTATTCGTAATTATTCGATAAGATTCGAATTATTCGAATCGAATCGAATCGAATATTCAAATTATTTTTGAATAGGACTAATACATATTAAAGTACCATGCCTTTTATAAATTAGTGAAAAATGTTCATCCTAATTTAAATTTTAAACAGACAACTACCCCTCCAACTAATATGTGATTTATTACTTAGGTACAATTAAATTTAAGACCTTGTTATTAAATTACAATAGAAAGAATAAAAAGATATTCTAAGTTAACAAATAATAGGATGTTAATTCAATCATAGTCAAATTATATATTAGTAAAACAAAAAGGTTATACATTCAATCAAAAATGTTATAATAAGTTATATGAATAACATACATTCAACAATTATGAAGTGATGAGAAAATATACAAAACTATGGAATGCATGTAAAAAGGCATCTTCAGAAAAGATAAGAAAGGTATTCAGTTGAAAGTTGCATGAATAACATGGAATAGCCTATACGAAGCCTATAATGGCAAAATTTTAAAAATATCAGCTATGCTAATGGCAATTGAGTTGTATTAAATAACAAAACCACTGCTTCCATAATAAAAATTCTATTGATTTACCAAATTGAAAATTACAGACCTAAGATATTTCATAAAAGTGATAATGAAACATGACTTTTAATTTAATTCATCCATTATCAAATTAAGGAGAAAATTCTAATTTTTTGTCAAACTTGATGATCTATCAGTCAGTAATCATATAAATGCAAATATTTACTTATGCATAAAAATTACCCTAATTAAAAGATATATAATTGTATAAAATTCAAATATATCCATTCTTCAATAAAATCTTTATTGTAAGAAATTTTGATAATTTAAACATTGATACTGCGAAAATCTAAATATTAACCCTCTGATGAAATGGTTAGGCTATATTTTTTGTCTTCTGGTTAGATATATTGGGTAATCATCATTAAAAATATCATATATAATCAGATGCCATTATAACCTATTGATTTACCAAATTGCAAAATTACAGACCTATGATTATAGATAGATAGATAGTAGATATTATAATGGAATCACGTGGTAAAGTCCAGCTTCCTATATATCATTTCCTCAAGGATGGAACCAAAATGATCTTTGCTGGGATTCGAACCCAGTGGCATCGCTAGGGGGAGGGGTGCGCAGGGGCTCGAGCCCCCTGAAAAATTAGAATAGCCCACCGAAGCAAAATTTTTTTTTAAAAAGTCTCCTTAATATCCCCTTGAACTAAAAATAATTTTTAATTACCCCAAGAACGATTTCTTTTATAATTCTATTAAGTAATATATTAATTTTATTATTTAAAAATTAATAAGACTATATAGATATTTATTAAATAATTACTATTTTAATTATTAGATTAGATTAATACGTCTAAATTATATTTTACTATGTCAGTTTGCAATCAAGTTCTGTATTAAAAATGGAATATCAATACCATGCATAATGAAACATCTATTTAGCATTAAAAATTTAAGTTTAATTGATTTTTATTATTTTAATTATTTTAAAACCTTAATTAAATAAATATAATCATTTATTAATTGATAATTATCAAATTTAATATTTTAATTATCCGAGTTCAAAATTACTATTTAAACTTTAAAATGCATGTGAAAAATTCATCTATCAAAAAATTTTTAAAAAACTAAACATGTGGTGAGTAATTTAATACAGTTTTTTAATTTCAAACTATACCTTAGATAATGAAAGACGATTAATTGTGGTTCTAAAAGATATAAATTGTGAAAACAAAAAGGTTAAAAGAAAGACAGGTAAATTAATTAATATATAATCTAAGATATTTTATTTATAAAATAATAAAAGATAAACCTGAGGGTCAATCTGTAGATATATGTGAGATCCAATGTATAGATATCTCAGGATGTATTAATTTTTTTAAATATAATTAAATATCAAATTTTATATAGGCATTGAAACTGATAGCAGTAATCCATATAAAGGTATGGGTTGTATTGGGACAAATTACTTTTGTTGTAATACATTTTAAAATTAATCTTATTTAGATTGTTTGGTTAATGAAGAAAGAAGGCTTATTGATGAGAGGACTAATGTAGGGACAGTAGAAAAGAAAAATATAGGTAAATTAATTTATATTTAATATAAGATATATTTATAAAATAATAAAAGCTATACACATGGCTCAATTTAAAAGTGACAACCATACAAGTATTTTTTTCATTATAACAATATTTTTCTTCAAATATATAATATTTGCCATAATTTTCATAAAAAAAATATTATTTTAATTTATATATTAATATTTGTCACTTTTTTAGAAGAACTTATACAAGTATTATTTTTATTTTAACAAGATGTTTTCAACCTCAGTGGTACAAATCCTTTCCTTGGATAGAATATAGCATTACCAGAAACGCTATTTTTTGTTTTCCTTGTCGTAATTTTTCCACACAACCTCAAAAAGGTTATCTCTTTGATATAGGTTATCAAAAATTTCGTAAGGTAAAAGAATTCTTAACAGCTCACGGAGCAACAAATGGTCATGCGACGAATGTGATTCTCTGGAACCATTTTAAACAATCTTTAATAGAAAGTACCATTAAAGAAAAATTTGTAGCTCTAACTAAATCAGCAATAATGGAAAGAAGAGAATATTTGAAACGATTATTCAAAATTATAATACTATGTGGTAAGTTAGAACTTCCCCTTAGAGGACATCATGAAAGTAAGACAAGCAATAATCAAGGGAATTCTTGTGAAATATTAAACTGTTTGAAAGAGTATGATTCATTTTTAATGGCATATAAGCCACCAGGCAATGCTCATTATTGCTCACCTCCATCACAAAATCAAATGCTATCTGCAGCGGGAAACATAATCTTAAAGTACATAGCTTCAGAAATAAGGGAGGCAGGTTATTTTGCTGTAATGGCTGATGACACTCGTGATGTTAGCTCATATGAACAATTTAGTATATGTGTTAGATATACTGATATAACAAAAACACCAAAGGAATCTTTTATATCTTTTGAAAAAGTTGTAGACTTAGATGCAGAATCATTAACAAAGACATTGATATCAACCTTAAATAACAATTCTATAAATGCGTTTTGCGTTGCTCAAGCCTATGATGGTGCCAGTGTTATGAAAGGGCATCTTTCAGGAGTCCAGGAAAGATATCGCAAAAATCATAAAATGGCTATATATGTGCACAGGATTTCCACTGGATGCAAACCCCCCTCAAAAACCTCAGCCTACCCCCCTAAAAAAATTTGCCGTCTTCGGCGGCATTATTTCAATATAAATATAAATCTGAATATTTTATGAAATAATGATATATAGATTACAGGAAGAATATTTATTGGTATAAAAATTATCGAAATTATCGAAATTACATATTTTAATTTCCACATAATAATTTTATTTTATTTATAATTTTTTTAATGTTAAAAATATATATAACATAAGGAATATAAATATGTGCGCAGAAAAAAGACAATTTATTCAAATAAAAAAGGGAATTATAATGCAAAATGTCTAAATTTATTGCTATTTAATATTTAAAAAAAATGGATATTATAATTGCTACATAATAATTTTTTTTAATGTTAAAGATATAACACAAGGAATATAAATATATGTGCAGAAAAAGACTAATTAAAAATGACTAACTAATAAGGGATTAGTAATCCAAATTTATTCAAATATTGAAAAAAGGGAATTATAATGCCAAATGTCTAATGCTGTTTAATATTTAAAAAAAAAGGATTATCCAATTAAAAGATTAGATAGTCTTTTAGAAGTTAACGCGAAATCTGTAATAATATCTTCTGTTTTAAATGTATCATATATATCAATTTCACTTGATATTAATAATAAATTTTCTAAAAAAGAATCAGAGATTTTATTTCGAATACGTGTTTTAACAATTTTGACTTTACTCATAGCTCTTTCAGCAGAGCATGAGGTGGTGGGGAGGGTTATAAGATATTTATATAACGTTTTAAGATAAGGAAAAGAACTTGATTTAATTAATAATCTATATGGTAGAATAAATGAATATTTCAGCCATCTTTTTGTTTCGGTCATTTTACTATCATTTATAATGTTTTCACCTGTAAACATATATTAAAATTAAGTTGTTAATAAAATTAATAACTTTCATCATATAAGGTATCATTTTTTCTAATATTGATTAAATCTTTACTATAAATGATTGATAAGGAATCTAAGTATAATGGTCTAAAATTGGAAAATTCATCTATAATTTTCTGTGCATCAAAATTATATAAACACACAATTTCAGATATCTGGGAAATTTCTATATTCTCATTATCTGCTAATCCCGCAGGAGTAAAAATAGAAATCTGATTTAAAAAGTTTAATGATTCATAATTAAATCTTTCATTTAATTGTTCAATGATCATATTAATCACTGGGTAAAATTTTTCATTTTTATATCTAAAAAAATATATATTATTTTAAAATATACTTTTCTTTTTGTTGTTCAATATAATTATCAAACTCTTTTTGATCCAATTTAAATATTGACTTAATATTATAATTATCTGTTGTAACATTATTCTTATCCATAAATGATTTAACATCGGTATGTAATGATGTTAATATATTATCACCATTTGCTTAATTAGAAAATGTAATTAAAATACATGAATAATAATTTACCCCTTAATCTTTGGAATTTATTTTTTGTATGTTGGATCAATTTAATCATCATTGCTAAATCATTTCCAATTGCCTGCATTTCAATGCAAGTTTCATGTGTACATTTTAAGATTATTCTTAAAATAAATAATCCTAAAATAAAATCATATCGTTTTATTCTAGATAGCAATCCCTCAGAAATTGAAAATGTGATTGCGTCATCGGAATTGCTTAACTCTGTCAAGGAGGCTATTATATATTCATAAACATCTAAAAAATTTTGTAATGCTTTGAAAGATGATGCCCAATTTCTGAAAATAAATAAAATTCTTAAAAAAATTATATTTATTTACCTTGTTGTGTTTTTTATTCTTTTGAGAGATTTTTTGGTTTTTTGCATTTGAAATTTGGTAAAAACACCCTGGCGTTTAACTCCATTCATAAAATTATATAATTCATCTAAAATTCCCATAGTTTTTTTAATTTCATTCCCATATCCACATATACGAATAACAATTAAATTAAGCCTATGAGCATGGCACCAGACATAAATAGCTTTAGGAGCTTCTTTAAATATTAAAGCCTGTACTCCCTTATTAACACCTCTCATATTACTAGCACCATCCATACTTTGCCCTCAGGTATTCTAGTGGAAGATGTAATGCCTTTAATTTAGTTAGAACATTATTTTTAATATTTTCTCCTGTTGTGTCAGAAGTTGTAAAAATATTAATGATTCTTTCTACTGGGTGTGGGTGTGGATATTCTTGTATATACCTTATAATTAAGGCAACACATTCCTTTTTTGAAATATCATATGTACCATCTAATATTAAGCTAAAGGCACAATTTGACATAATTTGTTTAATTATTTCATTCAATATTTTTATCAGCCAATTTTTTAACATGGCCATAGGATATGAAGTTTATTTGTGGCCTTAATATTTTATTACCACTTTTTTCTCGTGAACTACTATTTTTCTCTAGATATGCTCTTAATACTGGAACATTCTTTGAGATCAAAGTTATAAGTCTTGAAAAATTACCATCATGAGAATTGCTTCCCCAAAAAGCAATATTGCCCCGTATTAAATACACAATAGCATCAATTATATTATGGATAATATAACGATTTTGGGTTATAATTTCCTCTCGGTTGAATAAAATGTGGTCATCAATACGCCCCCGAGAAATCCATGCCATATGTGCATATTCACAATCTGCATGAACAGGGGATGTTTCATGTCTCTCCATATCCCGGACTAAATTATTCCAGCTATCTGCACCTTTATGAGTACATTGCAATCTTGCTTGATGACTTCCAAACATAATACAGAAGATACAGAATACTTTATCCAAAATAGAGCTATATGATAGCCATTTTCTTTGAGAAAATGATTTGTCATAATTTATTTTTTTATAATAGGCATCTTTCATACTCCTACATTAAAAGCAATATATGAATATATACATAATTCTTGAATAATTAATAATATATAAGTAATATTGCAGCAATAATTTATTAAACCAACCTGTTATGAGATTTTGGATAAATAAATTCATTGGAACTTGGTTGTAGTGGACCAAATTGAATTATAAAATCAATCATATTTTTTGTCATTCTAAATCTAAAAAAATGAAAGGGATCATTAGGATTCTTTTCGGTTAATGATGCTTGGTACCTTAAGGTACCATCTATCAAATTTGAATTTTGTTCATTTTTCATTTGGATAGGCACTACCAAATATATTTATAATATATATTTGAAAAATCGTGATTTTTGGAAAGCCTCTATGGCCTAGTAGGCAAGAGCTTGGTTTACTTATCCCATGGTCCCGGGTTCGAATCCTGGCAATGATCATGCTTTTTTTCTTATTCTAACTTGGTGGTTCCATCCTTGGGGGGATAATATATAGGAGGCCGGACTCGACCACGTGATTCCGTATTAATATATTAAATAATAAGGATCTTATTACATTTTAATAAATTTTGGTCGGTATTTAGCAAATTAGGTTGGTATTTAGAATATTTCCATACATTCACTTGGTAGTAAGCATCATTAACCATTCTTTTCCCTATATAAAGAAATAATATTTTCTTCATTATCTTCATATGATAAAGGAGTTATTTTAGCTTTGTTTGGTAACTGTATAATTTAAAATGTATAGATAGCTTATTGTTATTACTTTATCTATATAAATTGATTCTAATGCTTGCATATCAATATCATCATTTTTACCCTTTAAAGATATTATTAAATAATATTTAAATTATAAACTTCTTTAATTGTTGATAAATTTCCAGATATTTTTTCTGGGTTGTCTAAATTAGAACTTCTAGGCATATTTTCGATTTTCTATATTTTGAAAAGAGAATATTAATTTATTAAATTGTAAATGCTTTGTCAGATTCTTTAAAATTTTTTTTTTAAAAAAAATTATAATACCCATGTTTCATCATCTAAGAATGGAATAATTTCTGGATAGGGAGCATCTAAATGAGATTGCTATTAATTTTAAATATAAAAAATGGTCATTTTTAATATTTTGAAATAATTACTACTTTGTCCTTAAAAATGAATGCAGTCTCCATATTATAAGTTTTCTTTAGATCAAATGAATAAATTATAGTATAAATACTTAAAAAAACTTCTTCATCTTGATTTAGTGTGATAATATTATGTAATGGTTGTGGTAGATTTATCTTAAGAGTATCTAATGGAGAGTCAATTTCCTTAAAAGTGTTTAAAATTATATATTGATCACTTAAATATGATATAAAAAGCATGTATAAAAATCAAAAAATAGTTTAACCTTTTGAAAATATGTTGCAATTGATTTATTTTTTTTAAATTGAGTATTGATTCCATTAGTTATTTTGAGATTATTTGCATTTGGACCAAGTTTGTTCCAAACCTTATCTTTTTTAATTGCTATTACCTCAAACTTTACATCACTATTAGGATGTCTTGTTTTGTAATGTAAATTAATTTTGTCTTTTCTAATCTTATTGAAGTTGCAGCCTGTATGCAAGCATTTTACCTTGTAATTTATCTTATTGCTTGGCATCTGATTTAAAAAATTTATATCCATTTTAAAAAGATGATTTAATAAAAATATCTATAATTTAATGATGTAATAATATATTAATAATAAAATAGATGTTTTAAAAATGGTGTAATATGATTAAAATCTACCTATGAAAAATTTTTTATTATTATTTATAAATTCCATAAAAGAAGAAAAGGCAATTAAAATTCATAAATTATTAATATACTTTTTAGGAAAATATGGATGGCAAATATCTTCAAATATTGAAATATCTTTTTAAAATAACATATTTTCAAATAACATCAATTTGGATCATAAAATTGTATTATATATTTTTGTTTTTTTAATTTCAAGAAATTTGTAAATATGAAAATAATTATCCTAAATGTTGACAAAATGGCGAGTCCAGCTGATCTACTACTTTAATGAATGAACAAATATATTATGATTGTAACGTTGTTGTTTAGTAATCTATCTCTATTATAATAGATCTATTATTATATTATAAATAATTAAAGCAAACTATATTCACATATAATTCAAAAATGTAGTAGATAACATTCTAAATATTTTTACCCTACCCCCCAACTGATGCCTACCCCCTACCCCCTTTTAGGATATTTGGATGCAAACTGTTCCTACTCCCCCCCCCGCTCATGTAGACGCTGAGAGGCAGTAAAAAACACTTTCCCTGCAATTATTTCTTATCTAGAAAATATAGAGCATGGTGATATGGTGAAAGCAAATAGAATTTTATATCTTCTTTTATAATATGATACAATTATGTGTATGTTTATATTCCAAAAATTATTATCTATGTGTTCCAATATTTCTATTTTTTTACAAAAATCAGATTCTGACATATCAACAGCATTGGCTCTTATCGAGTCTCTTATCATTTCTTTGTCAAATTTAAGAAATAATTCTTATTTTTCTTCATTATTTACCGAAGTAAATAAATTTTGCAATTTATATAATATAAAAATAACAAATAAAAGAACAAATATACCTTCTACCATTTTAAATGATTCTATTCAAATAGATGATATTGTTTCTCCTAATTATTCTGATCAAACAGAAACTTTTTATAAGTGTCATGTCTTTTATCCAATTTTGGATATTATGATAAATGAATTAAAAAAGAGATTTTGTCAAGAAAACACAGATATATCAATAGCTATAAGTGCTTTACATCCCTCCTCCCCCCAATTTTTAAATAATGATATCATTAAACCATTTATCTTACATTATAATCTTCCTGATCCAATGGAAGAATACGCAATATTAAAGATTTATATTTTAACCTATAATAAAACACATGAACCTATGTGCAAATCGATAATAGATTTGATAAAAATCGTACCCATCGATATATTCCCTCGTATATATAATTGCTTTAAAATTGGGCTAACTATTTTTTAATTCCTGTTCATGTGAAAGATCGTTTTCAGCTTTAAAACGGGTGAAAACATATATTCGATCGACAATGGGTGAGGAACGATTAAATTCGTTGGCTCTATTGAGCATTGAAAAAAATGTTAATAATAACATTCCTATAGATCACATTATAAATGAATATGCAAGAATGACTAACTGTCGTAGAGAACTTATTTTATCAGATAATTTAACCTTATAATTTATATTATGAAACGTAATTTTAGGCATTAGTATAAGCGAGTAAATATATCGTTTAATATTTATTTTATAATTTTTTTTATCATTTCTAAAATTAGCTTAAAGATATGGCACTTATAAAAAATTTCTTTTTGAGATATATATTGACAATACAATAATATATAAGATCTTAATTGCTTTCATCATATCACTCTTATTTTTTAGCTACTATATAATTCATTTCTAATTTGGCATCCTTACCATGTAAATAACTCAAAGCTTCAATATATTTGCTTAATTTCTTCTAAAGATTTTTAGTGTTTTTGTTTTATCAATTTATCTAACATTATAAATTCTGATATGAGTTAACATCGTGAGTGTCATGGCTATGACTGTAAATTAACCAGCATCTATAATTTGTGTGGCTATGTAATTTAAGATTATTACTACAGCTGCTGAGTGCATATGATTGCATATTTTAGATATGCAATAATGGTCAACTGTGTAGTCGTTTATATATCATTAAAAATGGAAGATAATCTTTTAGAAATTTAATATCTCACATTAATTTTCTCGATTACTTATCTAGCTTCCATTATCATCTAAAAGGAAGCTCTAAAGAAAGTTTTATGATTTGGATTGGTCACTTATATTCTCTTCTTCAACAATTGTTAATTTGGTAAGGCCTATAAATTTTTTCTTATTAGTCCATTCTATAAAACATTGTCTAAAATGGTAACAGTATATTAGTTTCATGACCTTTTGTCAATGTAAGTTTTAAGAATTATATAGCCTTATATGGTTTTTAAAAACCATTTTCAATTGAGGCATATATATTAATTAACCTTTTTTATCAATTGTAATTCTTAGACGCCAAATTTTTTATATCAGCGAAAATATTTTATACTGTAATAAATAGATTTTGTATTAAAAAATATTTTTTTAGAAATGTCTTGTATTGTTTTATTTATATGCGTTTATTTTGTATGCATAATATAATAAATACAAAATTGAAGTAATTTTCAGAGTTAGCTAATTTAAAAAAAGTATAATATAGTAATATTAAACCCGGCCGAAGGCAGGACTAAAGCGGGCCGAAGGCCCGCAAATTGGGGAATATGAGGGCTTCGCCCCCCATAAATTTTTTTTAGTTGAGCCCCTTGAGATTGTAAAGTAGCGACGCCCCTGTTCGAACCAAAATCCAACAGATTTGTAAGTGACGCTCTTGCCGATTAGGCCACAGACGCTTTTCAAAATATTAATTTGTCCAAATGAAAAATAAACAAATTACAAATTTGATACTAAGAATTCTAGTATATATGTAATGGTAGCTTAAATAAATGAATATTTGATATTATCATTGGACCGAATAAGCTATGGTTTATTATTGGACCGAATTATGGTTAAAAGAATAATATTGGCTATTACGTAGTGACACTGTGACTATATATTATAGATATTATCAACCCCTAAGGATTAAACCACCAATGATTTTTTAAAAAAATCAGATTTGTAAGCGACGCTTTTGCCGATGCTACAAACGCTTTTCAAAAGTCACGATTTTTTAAATACTGTGACAAGGCTTTTATATATATTATAGATAGATCCTTACCTTTCGATGAGTTAAAATTTTTGTTGACATCCTTGACATTAACATCGTCGATATTTTGGGGTGGGAAGGAATCGATGAATGGATCGCTTATTATGCATGAATGAATATATATTGGATAATCATCAAAAAAGTCCTAGAAATTAATTTCGAAAATGAATTGGAGTGGCATATTTAGGCATGGTTTCAGGAATGAAAGAAAGAAAGTAATTTATTCATTTTTTTCATTTTAAAAAAATATTAATTTTATTTTGTGAAAATCATTTTTTCGTGGAATCATCTTTATTATATTTTAGAGTTATGCATTTTTTGTAAAATTTTTAAATTTTACCAGCAAATTTTAAAGGTTTGATGAAAATGTATATAATAATATATATTTTAGATATTTAATGTTGTTTGAATTATTAAATTGATAATAACACCAAAAAAAAAGTATAAAATCACAAGGTAAAATAGTTTTATCAAAAATTAGACCCCATGTATCAAATTTCATTAGCCATTGATCAGAAAAAGTGCTAACATTAAATTTTTGCTACTCTTTCTTAATCCGTTAATTTCATAAGAATCCAAATATTCTCTTTTTTATTACATTTATTTTTTAACTTTTAGAATATCATAATAGGCTTGATAGGTCCCCCCAAATTTTTTTTTGATAATAGCCCTCCAACTACTAGAAATATGCATCTAATATTGACCCATCTACCGGTTTTACATTATTTTAATGTTTGTTTAATTTCAACAATAGTTTATTTATATTTTTGCCTGATTTCTTTATTTGTCTAGGCTAACCTTAATCCCTCACATTGCTACAGAACATGATGAATCTATTATTAAAGATAAGCAAATAAAATAATGACGAGTAAACAAACGCCTAGCCCGTTCTAGAGTTATTGGTAGACAAAATAATAAAGAACTACGCTTGAAATGAACTCATCTGGAGGTTTATTTTGTTTTTTTATCATATGTTTTATATCTATGTTTATTTTATTTTCACCCATTTCTCCAAATGATATTTCTATCACCACTACCACAATCCCTATGCCACCTCCGCCTATTTTTTAACAAATTTAAACATTTAATTCTGTACTATCATTCACTTCACTAGGAGTTAATATAAATATTACTTTATCTGATTCTCTGAGAAACTTTCACGAATATTTAGAGGAATGTTCAAACTTGAATGTGTACAGCCAATTTCATCAACTTTATTAATTGAAAAATGTGCAGTAGTTCTGTCGTGGCCTTTATAACTATACTTACGACCGTTTTATGGTTGAGTTAACATTGTAATTTATGATTATATTTTAGAGGGGGATACCAATGCTGACATTGACAGAAATATCGTTTTGCGTTCTTCTTTTACCAGTATCCCAAGGCATAAGCATATCATCTTTATCAGGACGCAATGTGTTTTGTACACTTCTTTGTTAATCCGTCATTACTTTAAACTACAACCCTAAATGATATAAAATTATACAATAATCCTCTCCAGACGACCGCCCAGATTTATTTTGTCACTTTTCCATCAAAAATTAAAATGTCAACAAGGATTTGCTCTTAATTTTATCAAACACATAATAAATAATCCTCATTATTTAAAAAAAAAATTATCTTAAATTTATATGTCAATAAAAAAAAAAATCTTAAGAAATATATAAATAATTTGCATATAAGTTTCATTAGTGTTTAATAGCATTTTTGTAATTTAAATAGACAGCATTTTTTTTTACTTAACATAAAAAAATATATATCCCTTATCAAATTCTTTGACAAATAATTTCAGAAATGCAAGACATACATTAAATTTATCTGAAAAACAACAATAACCTTATATAATAAACAACATATTTTTTAGATATAATTTTAATTGATCATATTACAAAAAAGTATAAGAGTTAGTTATTTTTATTTTATTTGTCATGATTCTCTAATAAGTGGTTGCCCAGGCCTTCCCAGTTTCCCTTAATACGGAATTTACATGTTTTTTTTCCATATAAGACTAATTGGTAAATCAGATATTTCCCGTTCATGTGATGATTTTAAAAATTTAACTATCTCCGAGGCGGGAAAAAATTTTCAAAATTATACTAAGTAGGACTGGTCTTGGAACCTCAAAATTAATATTAGCTTGCACCTGACTTGGGAATATCTTTTACAAATTATTAAGGGTTGAGCTGGGCTTGATAAACTTTTTTATTATTATAAGATCTTGGATGCTTCCTAATTTGTCAGCTTGAACCTGGCATGACATCTATCGTAAAAAATGAATAAAAATCTCATTCCCCGTCATTTTTGACGGGTTTTCTACTAGTTTGATTAATTTTGCCAGATTAAGAAAGAAAAAAATAGTTTACCAGATTGAGAAAGAAGAATCTTAGGGAAATCAAACCTAAGTCCATTAGATTTGTAAGCGACGCTCTTACCGATTGGGTCACAAGTCATTATCAAAATTAACGATTTTTTAAATATATTTATTATAAATTGTAAGTGTGACAAGGCTTTTATATATATTATTATAGATATAAAATAAAGTAAATTACTTGTATATACATTAATATAAAAGCATGGTAATAATTTATTCCAAACAAGTATAAGAAATTTATTTATGTAGACATATAGTTGATGTTTCTCTATTATATAGAATTGGTTACAAAATACTAGGTAAAATTTTACTTTTATAGACATATTTGACAGTTGGAGAATATATATATTACAGTTAATATTTTAACAAATTTTACTAATCAATGCTCTTGATAATAAATATAGCAACAATTTGCATTCAATTATTTGACGCCATCTATTTATTTTAAATAAAAATAATATTAAAAATTAATCTTTATATTATTTATTCCACAATGTTAAAAATACTGATGTCCTTATCAATATTTTATAGTATTCTGTAAAATATATAATTCGCTATTGGTATAAATTATTTGATTGTTATTTGATAATTGATAAAATTAGATATATTGTAAATCTACGACATATAATATTCCACTGTTTGTATTGTGCCTTAATTTTTTTAAATTAAATTTATGATTTAATTTTATCAATAGTTTTATAATTATATTTTACTTTTATTAAGATAAATAAATTAAAATTACTCACTTTATAAAAAATTATATTTGATTGTATATTATTTAGTAATTTTATGGATCTATTATTAATAATTATAATACATTTCACTTTTGTCTTAAGACTTATCTTTGGCTTATATTCCATTACTTAAAAAGCATTTTTGGTTCACTTTTTTTATATATAAATACTTTTTTCTAAAAATGTATAAATTATGATAAATAGCTTTATAGAAAAATATCAACTTTTACATTCTTTCTTTTAATATATGATTTAAGATATATGCTTACATTTTTGGAAGTCTGGGAGTGGGGGGAGAACTAAGGGGGATATTCTTTATTAGCTTAAAATGATATTTATAAAAAGTGAGAAATTTTTGAAGGGGGAGGGATTTCCCCTTCTCCCTAACCCCTGGCTACTCCTATAATTTTTTTTATGAAATTTGTTTTTTTTGTCAATCCTTATAGATTTAGCCTAATTTTTTTAAAAAATGATGAGGATTAGTTATTATTTTGTATATCTGTTAAAAATTAGAGCAAATCCTTTTTAATAATATAATTTTTGATAAAAAAAGCGACAAACTAAATCTGGGCGATCGTTTGGAGTGTGATGAGGAAATACTTCATGCATAATTTTATCCAATTTAGAGTTGCAGATGTATGTAATGAATATTGACGGCTTACCAAAGCAGCGTACAATACCATTACGTCCCGATAAAGCTGATGCATATACCTCGGGTGGTAACAGAAGACGCAAAATAATTCTTCTGCCAAAAAATGTCATTTTTTTTTCACTTGAAACTGGTCCCTACATTGTTTTTAATTTTGTCCCCCCTTTACCCATCATTATCCAATACTTTGTTTTACATGGCGGGCCTTCTTCCGGGTTTCCTTAGTCTATATATAGTTAGAAACTATTTTTACTAAATAGGAAGTTAATTTTAATAAAAAAATTATCTTAATAGGAAATATATTTTTTTTAGTTTATATAAAATGTAATAAATTACATATATATATACATTAATACGAAAACGTGGTAATAATAATGTTAGATCTAATTTTTTTTCAGAATTTGATAATTAATTAATATGAGCGGAAGCCATTTAATCAATTTTGCAAGGTAGTATTTCGCATATGTTTTTAACCTTTGTAAATTTGAGAAAGTTCTTTCATTTGTACATGTCATTTTAGGGAGGCATGCTAAAATTTGAATTTTGTAATGTTTGGAAGTTTGCAAAAATTGAGTACACTTAGTGGATTCTCAGGCTTAATGACCATTCTTTTTAAGCTTGCAGACCAATATTTAAATTCAAATTACTTCCAATTATGTCCCTACCATATCTTGCAAATAAAACATATATAGTGAATTTTATCTCTAATATCATCCGAGATGCTCACTGATGGATTAGAGGATAACAAAATTTGAAAGTTATTGAGCAACAGTTTATGATTCAATAAGCGTTCTCTAATTTGCGTTAAAAATGAATTCATACGTGGTTAAAAAAATCTTAATTCTGTAATACTCCTCAACTGATTAAGTAGAACTATTATTCCTATGTACTTGTCTTGATACAATTCTTGACATGTTTATCAACATATTATATGAATGCACCTTTAACCATGTTAAAAATCTTGCTAAATTTACAATCAGGATTCTTTCTTATTTGTAAAATAGCATAATACAGTTCCTAAATTAATTAAATACATTTTTTTTAAATACAAGCAAATTTAACTAGATTGCAAATTTTGTATTTTTGAATGTATTACCTATAAGATAGTATTATTGATCAATAAATTATTATAATAAAATTTATTGCAGTTCTTTCATCAACATTAACTTAAAAGAATATAAATGTAATGTTAAAATACACTACACTACCTATTGGGACTATCTGAATGATAGGATCATTTTTCTCTAGCATAATTACTATTGTTTTATCATAAAGAGGCAAAGCTACTTACTTAAACGCCCATCCCATAGGAAATAAGAGGAGAGGTAAAAAACTAATGCCCAATTAAATAAAAACTTGATCATGAAAGAGTTATGTTGGTTATGATAATTTTGCTATTTAACATAATGAAACTAGATATAAACATATGATTAAATAAAATAAAAATGCAAGTATAAATATAATTACTTATCAATAAACTAGTTCTTTATCCAACTTTGAAAATAATCAACAGTCCATTCCATATTCAATATCCATCGTACCCACTTAGGATTTACATTGTTAAATAATAATAATAAAGAGGATAGATATTGGTTGAACTAAAATTTAAAAATTTATAATTCATATATTTAAATGAATGTAACAATATTTAATTAATATTTTAAAGAAAATTAAATATAAATAGATAGGTTTATTAATTTAACAAATATAAAAATTTTTTTTATTTGCATTCTTTTAAAGATATTTTATGATGTCCATATCAATCTTCTGTAAAATACAATTCACTTTTGGTAAAAATCATTTGATTGTCATAAGATGGTAAAATTAAATTTACCCTAAATCTACGGCATATAATTTATAATTTAAATTTTTCAATAATTTTATAATTAAATTTTACTTTTATTTAGAAAAATAAATTAAAGTTATTCACTTTATAAAAAAATATATTTTATATATTATATTATTTAGTAAAATATAACTTTTGTCTTATTTATCTTTGGCTTATATTTCATTTCTTAAAAAGCTTTTTTAGTTTCACTTTTTTTATAATAAATGCTTTTTTCCAAAAAAGTATGAATTATAGGCAATAGTTTTAGTTTAAAAAATAGTAACTGTTATATTCTTCATTTTAATTTATTGTTTAAGATATATGTATACATTTTTGAGGGACAGGGAATAGGGAGAGGACTAAGGAGGATATTTTTTATTAGTTTAAAATGTTTTTAACAAAAATGATATATTTATGAAGGTACCTTTATGATGATAATGCTATGATAAAACTAAAACTGAATAAGCTGTAATAACGTTGTGTTAAATAATGCAAAAACTCCTTGAAGAAAACTCGTTTACTATAAATGCAGCCATACTTGTCAGATAATATATTATACTCTCACATCTAACTATGACAGTTGACTTGTAATTATTTTTTATTAAAGAAGATAACTAGATTTTTAAATGCTTGATAATTCAAGTTTAAAAAATATAGCTTTGTATGTTTTACCTACTTTTCCTTCTTATGATAATGAATCTAATGAAGGCTTATCTAATGTCCCGATATCAGTGCAAATAATAGGAAATTTTCAAAAGCTTAAAATGTTAAATAATCCATATCTTTGCAGGTATTTAGATATTTTCAGAGGAAAAAATGATCAAATTTATATAATACAAGAATATCATCACACGCTATTTGAATCATCTTGGTATTTTATGGGTATCCACAAAAAATCGGAGTTTATTTACCTTATAATGCAATCGATTATTCAAGCATCATTGTATTTACTAAATAATAATATTATCAATCCATACATATCTCCTGATAGTATAGTCATATTTAAAAGCAATGTTAAGCTAACTCACTATGGTTTATACCATATAACTAAGAAAAGTAAGTTAGTCACATATCCGTTATGTGATATAAAATATTTATCACCAGATCAATTATTGTTATGTTTAACTAAACAAACAACTTCTAATCCATACTCTATTACATGGGGTTTGGGGCTTATATTATTGGAATTTATGTTTTCAATAAAATTATGGGATAGATTATCCTTGAAGCAACAAATATGCAGAATACTTTCATTTGTTAAAATGTCAAGTTTATCAATTTTGGAAAATATTTTATTAGACCATAATATCAAAGATAAATTTAATAATCTGCCTTGGAAGACAAAGTCATTAATCCATTCATGTTTAGAACCAATTTCTTCTAGTAGAGATTACCAATTTTTTAAGAATATTATAGACAATGAATTGTTTTTTTTATATAAGAAAAAACATGATGTTAAATCATCTAATGGTGATAATATAAGTTCAATCAATATTTTTGAATATCCTGAAATAAATTATTTAATAAAAATTCTTAATCATGGGAATTATATATTAGAAAAAGATTGTAAATCCTTTGTTCAGGAAAATTTAAAAAGATTGAAATCTATCTCATTGATTCCTAATATTATTAAAATAAAAGGACAGATATATGGGAAAAAACATTTTAAAAATATTTGTTTATTTTTTAATTACAAAGAAAATTTAATAATTGATTTAAGTTATATTAAAATTAAAGTAAATCAAATTCCATATGAAAAATTATTTTTATATTTTGAAGAACATATATCAGATTCTTTACCAAATCACAAATCCATATTTTATGATAATTTATACAACAAGGAGTTGCCTCAAAAAATTAAAGAAATGGATATAGAATATCAAATATTAAGATTGAATTTGTATAAAAGATTACTCAGAGCTAATCCATTTAAAAAAATGGACATTATTATTGAGGCCAATGTTGATATTTGTCCATATTTTAGAAAAGATATCTGGGCCATAATATTGGATGTTGACATAAACAATCAGAAAAGATACAATAAAATAAATAAATTTCTGTATTTGGACATTGAAAGACAAGTTTAAAATATTTGTATTATATAGCTTTAATTTTTTTATATATTGTAACACCAAATATATTTTAATGTTGGTGTTTGTTTGGTTTGACACCAGTCTTTGGTCTTGACTGGACCAACTCATGTGAACTGAACCAACCCATTACCCCCAAATAAAAGACCAGTTCATACAGTTCTAAATAAAAAAATTAGTCTAGTCATTATTTCATTTTTTTAGGACTGTGCTTATCCACATATTTTTCACCGATCCAATCCGATATTGCTTCAAAACCGATCCGATACCAATATTTTTACTGATTTTTAATCACCCCCATTTGAACCAAATGTAATTAAGAAATCAATATTTTTTATGCAAAAAATCGAATTATGAATAATTTAATTTTTTTATTTCTACAATTAATACTATAATAAAAAAATATATATTTAATAATATATCCATTTTATGTTGGAATTATAAAATTGTAATATTTAATATATAAAATATAATATATTAGATTTTTTTAATAAATATGAGAGCCTCTAGATTTTCTGAAAATAAGCTTCTACGATATGGACTATCTATATCTCCTGCCGTACTGAAGGCAGACTCAGATGATTCTGCAGATAACACATTTTGCAAAATTATCTCTGCCTTTTGTAAAATATTCCATAATTCAGATACCATATTTAAAAAAATTCTTTTATTTAAAGTATAAATAAAAAAATTGGCATTATTTAAAAAGATTTAAAATAAATAAAACTTTGGGTGTTCCTTTCTATTTTTATAAAAAATTTTTTTAAAATACAAAAAAGAAAAATTTAAAAAAATTATTTAGAAAATATTATAATAATGTAAAATAAATATACATAACATAAAATAAAAAAATAACAAAAAAAAAGAAAAGTAAAGAGATCGGATTGGGTTTTTACTGGTATCGGCCCGATCCAATATTTTCAAAAAACACTAAATATCGGTACCGATCCGATATTTAATATCGGCACAGCCCTATTTGTTTTTGTCATTTTAAAAATATTTTTGTAATTGTCTATTTTAATTCTTGTTTTATCATTTTATGTTAACAATATAAAATCTATATAATACATATATTTAATTTAAAAGTAAAATGCTCTTTTACCCTTTATTTTCATAATATATTCCAAAATAAAATTAGCTAAAAGAGAAAAAGTCAAAAACTAAAGTAACTCTTCTAGAAAAGTATTATAAAATGAAATATACACAAAAATTTCTTAAAAAAATATATGAATTGGACCATGACCCAGACTGGAAATTATTAAAAGACCAATGACTATGGTCCATGAGAAAAATACCAATCCGATGCTAGCTTAAGATTGATTAGGACCATACCACTGACCTTCACTACACTGTTATGTGACCATGGTTGCAAGGTAATTTTTGAATTGTGGAAACGTTTAATATATATTGCCTCCATCCTTTTCCTCTTTATGAACCACTGGCCTACATTTCCCTACCTATAGTTGGATCTATATTTATATATTTATGATCAGTAAGATATCTGATCTAATATAAAATATTTCATAAAAACTAGCTAAATTTTATTTTTTTTAATCAGAAGTGGTTAATATTTTTAAATTTGACAATGCCCAATCCATTAATAAAATATTAAAACCTGATCAAAAAAATAATGAAATACCCTATTCTATAGGTAAACCGAAAGGAAAATATATATAATACAAATTAAATACTTTTTATGTATAAATTTTTTAACATTTATGCTAAATAAATTTTGAATAAAAAATTTAGAATTGCTGTAAATTTTAAGCAAAGCTGAGCTGAAACATTTGGTGGCTTAGGCAAAATAATTTGTTGGTCCCTTAAAAAACAAAATTTATATAAGCTTATTTGATAATTTTTGCTATGAGGACTATTTCCAGTCATTATAGTCTTTGTTTGAAAATTTGTTCTAAGAATTTGAAAAAAGTTTACAGCAAAAACAATATATTACATTCTTTATCGAGTACACTAGCCAACAATGATAGACTAATTGTATATTGGAAAGTTTTCACATATGGAATGAAGCCAAATAATCTTTTTTGTTTAGTTTAAAATTAAAATTTTCGATTTGTTGAGGACCCTTTCATACTAAAAACATTTGTAAATTATCAATTATCCACAAATTCATCCATAATGTCCTAGGTTGTGTTAAAATTTTTAGGGGAACTATTGTTGAGAGAGAAATATATGAACCAGCAACTTCTAATGGGATCGTCAGGAGAGAAATATGAATCAGCACCCTCTGTGCAATCATCATAATGAGAGAGAAATATATGAACCAGTGACTTCTGCGGAATCGTCATGACGAGAGCGAGAAAGAACCAACAACTTCTATAGGATCATTATGATAAGCATAAGAATATCAAATATGTTCATTGACTTTTGGCACATGATGTCACATTTTCATTTTTAAAGTGTTTTAGAATAACCCCTTTTGAGAATTAATAAAGATAGCATCACCCTTCTTTTTTGTTTTTTAGAATCTGAATTAAATTTGTTTCTTCCCGTTTTGAAAATTCTTTGGTTAATGGTTATGAAACTAAAGATTATATGGTATCTCTTAACAATTCCATTCACTAAATAGTATTTATATATTAATCTAGTGTGTCATTTTTTAAGGATGTGAAACTAGCATATTATATAGTATACTAGTAGATAGCCCGTCAAAAATGATGAGGAATGAGATTTTCCTCTAACTTTTATGATAGTTGTTACCTGTTATTTGAAAATAATATCCAATTTTTATTCTTTTTAGCCCCTCCCCCTTCAGGCCAGGTTCTAAATACTATGGTTTGAGTAAAAATAAATTTAAAACTTTTACTTGATAATGCCCATATTATTTGTTAAATATTACTGATCATTTATACCTAATATTAAATATTAAAAAAAATTCCCAGGCAAAGTACAAAGCCAAAATATTTTTAAAAAATTCTTCCAAGCCCAATGAAAGATCATAATAATTTTGGTAGTTGAGAACAGGGATGTGAACCCTTCGACAAAAAAAGGGTCCGGGTTTGGGTCCGGTAATAAATTTAAAAAGGACCCGGGTCCAAGGTTCGGGTCCGGGTTCAGAGGAAACATAAAAATAATGACTCAAAATAAGATTTTTTTTCATTCATTTTTTTATTATACTTCAATATATACACATTTATAATTCGAAATGAGATAATTTATATTTTAAATATTTTATTCAAACGCACAATCGTGATATCTTCTAAAATATCATCCTTCAGATTTCCACGTAAATTAGACAAAATATATTTCAACGATGAAAATCCACGTTCTACGCTTACCTAAAATATATAGTCATTTTTATAATACATAAATTATTGTACTTGTGTCGCCGGTACAGCCATGACGATTCTAGACAAGGTATATAATTCTGGATATATTGAAGAATTTTCCTTCCAGAATTTTAAAATGTTTGCATCTCTATTTATTCATAACCTCCGAGAACTTTTCTATTAAAGATACAATAGATATTTTTTGCTCCTTTCTATCAGATGATAATTTAATTTTTTTTCTCTATCTAATAGTAAAATTTCCAGATCATCAATATCGTTATCATTATCATTGTTATCGCTACAACCAGTAGATATTGTTGTAACCTCCAATATATTGTAAATAATAGAGTTTTGGGTATGCCATAAATCTTCAAGATGGTCTATAGCCATTTGTTTGCTCACTACTTAATAAAACCTGATATCGCGGGTCTAAATATATCGAAGCATATACAACACTATTTTGTAAATATTGTTGCTCTCATATTTTCGTATTTTCTAATACTTCATTTGAAAAAGAACTTGTTAATCTCCCTAACTCTAATCGACATCTTAACCATATGCCATAAAAATCCGATAAACATAATTGTTCTGCTTGCACTCTTAATGTTGTTATTTTTAAAAGAACCAGCACACTAGTAAGCTCTTTTACTTGATTCCAATCATCTTCTGACAAAATGATTTCACATGCTCCTATGATTAAATCATTACAGAAATCTTTCAAACTTAATAATCGCTCTAGCATCATACATATAGAGGACCAACGTGTTGTGCAATCTAAAATTGCCATTTGCCTTTTCATGGATTTTAATATTCTAACAATTGTGGGAGTTCTTAAATATTTTACAACATCCCTTGCTTTATCAATTATAGTTTTAAAGTGACTATTTTTTAGGGAGATTCCACGAAAAAAATTAATAAAATTATAAAAATTTTACATTATTTTTTAAAAATTAATAAAATTATAAAAATTTTATATTATTTTTTAAAAATTAATAAAATTATAAAAATTTTATATTATTTTTTAAAAATTAATAAAATTATAAAAATTTTATATTATTTTTTAAAAATTAATAAAATTATAAAAATTTCATATTATTTTTTTAAAAATTAATTTAACACCCTGAACCCTTGGACCCTCCACTTTTTAAAAGGGTCCGGGTCCGTGTCTGGATTCAGCCAAAATACGAGGGTCCAGGAGGGTTCCGGGTTCGGGTCCGGGTTCACATCCCTGGTTGAGAACTGAAATAAAACATTTAAATAATCAAAATCTTCACGGGCCTTAGTTTTTTGATCAGGCCGAGCCCAGGCTTGCAAAAAAATTTGTTTTAGGTCAATGTCTGACCCATTGTTAATAATTAAAAATTCTCAAGCATCCAAGATCATAATAATTTTGAAAAATTTCCCCCAAACCCAGCCCAATATAATTTATAAAAATATTTTCCAAACCCAGCTCAACCCATAATAATTTTATAAAAAAATTTTCTCAAGCCTGGCCAACCCATAGTAATTTTCAAATTTTTTTAGGTAAATCTCTAAAAACCATATCTATTTTTTATTCTATTTTAACCCAGCTCACCCCTACTTCAGACAAAGGCCAACCCATTAAGACTGAGAGTGAATACTCTTTTTTTGAATAAAAATACATTAAAATTAGCTTTTACCAGGGCCATATAAATATTCTGTGTTAAATATTACACCTATGCCCAA